ACGCAAATGTGAGCCCCGGGGAAGATCAATTTAGTTGCTCTTTGATTCGGCAGCTCTGATCTGCCTGCTTTTCTTTTGCGTTGCTGAACTTCCCGTAGCTGAGAGGGATGGTTTGGGGGCAGGTATATCTCCTCTAGAAGTGGTGAGGTGATGGCAAACAGCAGCTCTTTTCTGAGCACCTGCTACAGCTACAGCAATAACACAGGAACAGCTGAAATTTTGCCACTAGATCCCGGTCATACAAAAAAAAGAAAAAGATTTGAAAAAAATAACAAGAGGCTTTCATGAATATCCTCTTGTTCTGCCTGTTGAGTTACTCAAGGAAGAAATGCTGCAAAGGCCAGAAAAGCAATGAGAGATGGGTTTTCCAGACTATCTGTCCAAATGTTTTTCTCTTCTCAACTGCCCAGAAAAAATGAAACTTATGTGTGAATCACTTTCCTGCAGTTAATAGAGAATTTTTTTTGTCTCTTCCATTTTATAAATAGAAGTCTAGCAACAAACTTACTGGAGTCTTTTGAGGGCTTCAGCAGCCATGTGGTTACCAGCAGTCTGTTTATTTAGACATCCAAAAAACTTTCGACATAGTTTCTTGTCGAAGTATTTTAAGGCTAATCAGCCATAGGCAAGTCCTATGGGTAAATAATTGGTTAACAGATAATAAATAAGACAGTTCTTACACTGGAGGAAGGTCATTTTTTGACTCTGGGTTCTAGACTAGATCATCTTTGAGGATGGTTGGTCCTGATTCTGTACAGACACCTCCATCTCTCTCACGCAGAGTATCTGGTCATTTTTGTGTTTTACAAGGGTGGTTGTTTTGGACTTCTGTCTTTTGGGACACACAGCTCTCTTTTCCTCGTTCCTAGTTTGAATTCACTTTATCTTAGTCATTCTTGACCCAAGGGAATATGTTTCTGCCGCAGGTGGTGAGCAGCAGCCAGTTTCCTCGCTGAAGAGCTGCCACTTCTACTGTCCCAGTACTTCTCTTTAACCAGTTGGTATCCTCTATACTGAACACACCACTATACATCCCCTCCTCCTTAGAAGTTTGTAACAGCTGTATAGTCAGAGAATAAACCTCCGTGCTACACTAATATTAATATCACCCTTAAAGGAAAACAGGAAATTCAATGATTAGGTGAACTTTTTTTCTTACAAGAAATAGCATTTATTCTACTCTACCGTATTCATCAGACTCTTGTGCAAAAGATAAGATAATCTATGAAAACAGTAACAGCTTTGACTCTTCTTTATGAGCCTATTCAGCTTGGTTTGATTTCTGCTAACGACAGGCCTCTGGGCCTTCATGCTGCTATGTTTTTCCCCTTCTTCAGAGCTTCCAAACAACCTGACAGAAAAGTTAAGCGTAATACTTGGGATTTCTCACAGAATTTAATGGGTGTAATTATGCGCATGAGCAGATTTTTGTTGCCGTCTTTCTTTAACAGGCTAAATACTGGTCTTGCCCTCCCTGTACAGTCTCCGGAGCGTAACCTCAGGCGCTGCAGCCTCATGCTTGCTTTCCCCTAACCCTTTCCTGGTGCCCTCTTCACCAACACCGGGCAAACCGTTGCTGGGCCCGTCTTCCACCTTCATCTCTGCAAGTCAGGCCTGCTCCAGCAGCAAGCGGCTGAGGATGGCATCGGCATCAATCTGACCAGACTCTGAGCAAACCTGAGGCTGTACCAGTTAAGTCCCTGCCACAATTATTCATCGTGCTTCTCCTGGCACGTTCCCAACCTGATTCTCCAAATTTGAAGAAAAAACGATAATGCAGGTGCCTGGTGAAGACTATGGAGAAGATGATACCTAAGGAGAAAAATCTGATCTCCTTAAAGAAATTTCTCTCATCCTTCAGTATTCTTAGTGTAAAAATAAGGGAAAACCAGGAAGGGGAGTAATCTTTCTATGTACAATATCATGTTACCTTAAATCCTATGCAAATTTATGCTATACTTTTCAACTAATATTCAATATTTATTGTTGTTGTTCTTTAAAATCAAACAAAATCATAAAAAATGATATTAGGCAAAAGAATATTTTCCTAAATCTGGTGAGGGATGTTCATCTGGGACAAAATAGCTGATAATAAAAAAAACCCAAATCCACTAAGTTATTGAAAAAATGTTGGAAGTAATAATGTGAATTCATGCCATAATTTATATGATATATTTAAGTGAACCATAGGGGATGTTGATTCTTTTCCCTAAGGGAAAAGGTTTATTTAAAAAAGTGAATTAAAAATCTCCTTATTTAAAATACAAGACTGGTTAATAGTATTCAGGTATGACACACATTTTAATGGTTTGGTAACTTGTTTATGATGTGATACTTTTGCATTTTGACAATAAATACACAGATTCATATATCCATTTGTATTTAATTTTATTAGAATATAATAGAGACCCACGTGCATTGAAGGAGCCATCAAACTGTGAAAGTCACCTCTTCT